GTACTCGGAGAGCTCACGGAGGCGAGATCCCGTGGCCGTGGCGAACATCCTTCCGTCACCGATGATGATCACGTTGCGCGTGGCTCTGGCGATTGCCACGTTCACCCTGTTGGCGTTGTCCATGAAAACCCAGTCATGCCATCTGTTGGACCTGGCTGTCAGGAAGGTGACCAGGTCCGCGTCGCCGCCCCGGCAGGAATCAATAGTCGAGAGGGCGAGCCTGCCGCTTGCAGGGTGGCCCCCTGCAACGCGCCGAACGCCTGGGAACCGCAAGGAGATGCCCGTGAGTCCTGAGTCTTTCTGCTCGAAGACGCTGGCGTAGTCGCTTGTGTCGGGGGGGCGCGATTGGGGGTGGGCGGCGGGGCCCTTCCCTTTGCTTATTTCGCCCTTCCCTTCCCCTTTGCCTTTGGCCTTGGCCTGCCTGAATGCGCCGCTGACGCCGCGGGCGCCCCGGGGCCATCCGTTCTCGAGGATGGCGCACTGCAACTGGTAACCGATGACCGCCCGAACCGCGACTCCCTCCTCCATTGCGGGGAGGGGGGCGCGCATTATGTCTACCGTCTGCGCTGCCTCCAGCAGGCTGGCATATCCTGCGTGTAGCTTGGATGTAACCTCCAGGGAAGGGTTGTCGACCAGTAGGAACCGGCGCCGCTCTCCTGCGGGTTGCTTTCCTGGGCCCAGGTTGCGAAGCATCTGGTGCATGTCGTCGCTGGTGGTGCGGGCGGCGCGCGCTGAGTCTTCGACCCTGACGTTGCTCCAGGGCTGGAACTCCTGCCATGGTAGACCCTTGACAAGGGGCCTCTGAGTCAGAGGGTCAGCTAGTCCGGTTTGCATCGTGTTGTTGTAGAAGGCCCAGTCGGGCCAGGCCAGCAGCAGGGGGTACATGCGGTAACACAGGCTGGGCTACATCACGGCTGACTGGTGCCCCCCTAGCGCCTGGTGTAGACGGTCGAAGATGGAGAGGCACAACCCTTGGTCTGCAGCCTGTCTGGAGATGACCGCGGGGGGGAGCTGCCTGGGGTTGCCGACCAACACTAGGTGCCCTCCTGAGCGAATGACACTGTCCAAGGACATGGCCGCCATGAGCTCGTGCGCCTGTCCTGCCTCGTCTATGATGAGAAGGGGCAACTGGGGCGGCCTTCATTAGTGCTTCAGCAGATTCGCGCGTGGCGATGACGGCCTTCGCGTCTTTGAGCAGCTGGGTCCTGAAGGCGGGGAAGTCCTTGGAGGGTGACCCGCCTTCGTGGGGGGGTCTGCCGTTGGCCCTCTGGTAGTGTCCTCCTGGGGCGAGCCCCGCCAGCTCCTTGGCCACCTTCAAGTCCTTGGCGAGGCGCACGCACGTGGACGGGAATCCCGAGCTGGAGGCCAATTTGTTGTTTTTGTGAGCGGCGAGTAGGGCCAGCGCCGTCTGGTCGGCGGCCGCGTTGGAACCTGCCGCTAGAGCGACCGACAACCCGGGGAAGAGCGAGCCCGCCCATGTGCCCATGGTTGCGACAGAGAAAATTGTCTTGCCTGTGCCAGGGGGGCCATGTACGATCGTCACGTGATGCCGGGTGGAGGCTGCCAGGGCTCTTGTGGCGTCGCGGTTGGGACTGTGGCGCTTGGCTCCGTCCTCCAGGGATTTCGGTGCAAAAAAAATCGCGGGCGCGCTGGGGCGCCTGCCCGGTGGCGTCCTCCACCTCTGCGTCGGTGAAAGGGGGGGAGGCTGGAAGTCCGGCGGGGCGAGTGGGCGCCGCCGAGACGGCACCGAGCGCAGGTAGGTCGGCGCAGGGGAAGCGGACTTCCAGGGTGGCTTTGGCACGTGCCTGTAGAGCCTGCCCACACTTGGCGGTGTTGAGAACGTTGTTGGCGATGGCCTTGTCCCTTTTGTCGGCAGTGCGGAAGGTGAGGAGGTAGGTGATGACGTCCAGGGGGGTACCAATGAGATCGCGGGGGGCCCGCTGCAGCCTGTAGATCTCGGTGATTGCAGCCGAGATCCGCCAAAACTGGATCACGGAGGGCGCCCTGTCCAGCCTGTACCACGGTTCACCTACGTAGGTGGGCTGGTCGATGCTGTCGTCTGCGTGGAATACCCCGAACATGTCTGTGTTGTGAACGACGATGCATTCGTTGCTGGGGTACCGTGAGCCCGTTGGGAAAACCAGTGCCTGGCAGTCGCCCGGAAAGATGGTGCCTCCGAGGTCGGGGGGCCATAGAAGTTTGACGGAAACGACTTGGTCCACTGCTGGGCTGGTGAGGCTGAGAAGGAAGACGTGCGCGTCCTGTCCCGCATCCTGACCTTTGAGGAGGACTCTGAACGCCGAGGGCCAATGTAGATGTAGTAGCACCTTCCGGTCTTGGGGTGGAAAAGGCGTTCCTCAGCTGGAAGCGGTCGAGGGCATCGCACTCTGACTTCTGATCGATTGGGGTGACGGAAACTCCCAGGGCGCAGCTCTGCCTTCTGATGAGGTCTGTCCTGGCCTTGACGGAGTTGTCCCAGGCGGTCTCGGTCGACGCCATGCACTCGATCAAGGCCAGCCTTTCGAAAGCCCGCCCTCTTTGCCTTAGCTCCTGCGCCCAGTGTGGTGGGAGGAGGACGGCATCCGGGATCTGTCCCAGTGGTGCGTGCAGACGGAACTGAGCGATTCCACAGCTGGCAGGGACGGAGTATAGCTGCCTGACGGCATCGGCCGCAGCCACAGCCGGCGACTCCAGCATCACCCTCCTCACCCCTGATGGGGGCGTGTCTCCGTAGCCGAAGCAATCTTCTCCCCCGGGTGCCTCCGTACGTGATCAGTCGGCTGACTCTTGAGAAGATGCTCTGCTGGAGGCGTTGGGCATGTCCTCTCCCGTGGGGTGTCTGAATGGGGGGTGTAGGTGGTAGGCGGTGGCGTGGCCGGGGGCGTCTCTGTCAAGAGGCCCGTCCATCGGTCTCGGTCCACCCCTGGTCGTCCTTGCCCAGGTCCTCCTCAGTTGCTGGTGAGGGCGCGTCCCTGTGGAATGGATAGTGTCTGAGGGGGTGACAAAGTCGAAAGCGTCATCCCTGTAGGGAAAATTGATGGGAACGTGATCCCAGTCGTCTGGGAAAGACCAGCCGGGGAGGTGGGATGCCCTTAGACCTTCTCAGGCTCCGTCGTCTTCCACCCGCGCCATGGGTACCTCTTGATTATGCAGTCGTGGACGTGGTCATATTCCCTTCCGTTCGTCATGGCCCACAGGTTGCCCGCAAAGATGAATTCCTGGGGGTCGGGCCACCCGTTGTCCCACTGCCTGTCGCCTTCGTGCCAGCGGTCCCACTGTAGCAGGTGCTCCTTCCCGTCACAGTGCTTCTGACTGGTGGGGATACGCGAAGCGTCAAGAATTCCTCCAAGAGGCTCCCAAGGAGCTCCCAGGAGGCTCCAAGAGTGTCCCCAGAGCCCCCAAGATGCCCCCTCATCCTTTTCCTCCTCCTCCTCCTCCTCTTCGTTCTCCTTTTCCTCCTCCTCCTCCTCTTCCTCCTCCTCCTGATCTTCACCGCTATCCTCCCCCAAAAGTTCCCCGAAGGGTTTCCACAACGGCTGGGGGAACACATGGTCCGGTAGCTTCGCAGAGATCTTGCCCGCAATTCCAAAAGGCAAGGGGCTGCGGTGATTCGCCGTAGGCGTCTTCGATAACTTCACCAACGTCTTGTCAACAACAATGCTTACGAACATTAGCTACACGAGGAAGCCAGATAATAGCATCGAGACTTATGGCTAAATTGGGTGGCCTTGCCGAATGCACTGACGATTCACAGGTGGCCTCTTTCAGAATGATCAGCAAGGCGGCGAGGGAGAAATTTACCTCTCCCCCTACCCCCCCACCTTGGGCCTGGAGGGAGCGTTCCGCGAGGGACTCTCTCAAACGCCCAAGATGGACCAAGTAGCTCAAAAGGGCCTCCAAGACTGATCAATATAGCTCCAAATGGGTCCAGATAGCTTCCAGCATGCCCCCAAGAGACGCCATGACGGTCCCAAGGCGGCTTCTTGTGGCAAGGGAGCCTCCCAAGAAGAGACCCAAACCCTTCCAAAACCCAGGGGGAGATCCATCATGTTGGCCTTCTCGCCTTTTCGCTTCAAATGGCCTTCCAAGGCCTCAAGGTGGCAACAAAGTGGCCCAAGAGAGCCCCGAGAAGGGACAAGAGAGGCCCACAACAACCCCAAAAGCGCTCCAAGAGGGCCTCAAAAGGCAATGTTTCGGCCCCCGAAGGGGGACCGTAATTGGTTACCCCCCTTCGTTGAACAATCGCCCCCAAGAGGTCCCTCAAGGCCCCCTGAGACCAAGGGAGCCCAAGAGGGCCCAAGAGAGCACCCCAAACCCCCAAACTTGTCGTAGAAAGCCCCACGACGGCCTCAAGATGCCTCCAGTAGGCTCCTGGACGGTGACGACATGCTGCTACACATCCCTGATCAGGGCAACTCGCAAGGTGATTGTATTGGAATGAGCTGAAGGGGGACTGGGCGCCATAACCTCAAAGCAGCATGAATTCGGAATAACCCCCGTGTTCGAGATTCTGGCTGCCCAAGATGGCCCAAGAAGCCTCCCAAACCAGCCCTATGACGCCCTTTTTCTTCCCAAGATGACTCCACGGGGGCCCGAAGACGACCCGAAAGGGCCTGACCACGACTCGAGACCACTCCAAGACGGTCCAATCTGCCTCGGGCGCGTTCGAAGTACTTCGGGTGGTTCCAAGACGACCCAAGAAGGCGCCTTGCGCTACCAGGGCCCCTGGAAGCTTCGCAGGCAAACATCTGTCTCTTCCCCGACTCTGATGGTTTCCTCGGCGCGCCAAAGGGCCCTGAGGAGTCGGCGGTGCGATGAAAGCTAGAGAATCAAACAGCTGGCGGAGGAAGTGCATAGAAGGAGGGGGCGGGAAAGCACGGCGCAGCACGGGAAAACGAGGACCCGAATCAACAGGAAGATTAAGAGCGGCCTGGTCGGAGCATCTATCACCACAACCGTTGGCAGCTCCCGCTGTCGGTGCGTAACCAAATAACCTACACCTACCCTATCGTGGAGTCGCTGCTCACGAGATCACTGTTGAAAACCGTGGCAACATCATCAAATATCGCCTCCGCGGGCGATGTTGCTGACGACGGCGTGGCGATAGTGACGGAGGAGCCCGCTCGATACGCGCGCTGCAGCGGTGCGCGCAGCCAGATGGACGAGAAATTCAAGCTATCGATCGTCCCCGTCTCAGAATGGCTGTATCCAACGATCCGGACGCTGCCGTTGACTGTGAACTTAGACTCGCACTCAACTGGCAACCGGTGTGCTCCCTCCATAACTGGATCCGTCAGGAATGTCGTCTCATTCGAAGCTAGATCAGATCTGTTGCATTGACCTCCGGCCGAAGAGGTGGATGAGAGCTCTTTGACGATGGTGGCGCCCTGCGGAACTGTTTTGTTCAAAGGTTCATCGAGCTGCACGGTCCCTGCGTCCAGGTCGAGAGACCCGATGCTGTTAGGTATGCTGCCGAAGGTGCCATGGCTCGTGATGGAAATGTTGTCGCCGCTATCGAAGGTCGCGAGGTTGTCAACGCTCAAAACGAACGTTCCCATTTTCGCCTCATGCATGACCTCTGCAGATGCTCCGTGCGACAAGAGGGTTACATCCGTCTCAGCAGCATAATTGTGTTTCAAACTTTGTCGAACCTGGACGGTTACACCACTATGTTCCGTGTTCTCCGTTGCGCGTGCGATTTCTGCAGTTTCGAATGTCCCAAGCTCTGCGTTCCCAATCATGAGGAGGTTGAACGGCTGAAAAAGATCCTCGCGTGCCTCGGCATCGCCCTTCAAAGCAATATCCGTCACCGTGCCGTGGGCACTGAGCGAAGTGTCATCAAGTCCCTCTGAGTTCTCTGCCTTGAGAATTGTCTATGCTCTCCGAGGGGCGCGGGGCCTGGATTTCTTGCGCTCCTGGGCAACCTCGGGGATTCTCGCGTGACTTTTCTGAAGACCTCGGGAGCGTGGTTTGGAGCCCACACTTTCAACATAGCCTAAGATAGTCCCAAGGCCCATTCTGGAACCATCTTGAGAGCCTCTTCGGCCGTCTTGGAGGCTCTGGGTGCCAGCCCATGAATTCAGACTCGCTGGCATACCACAGGTTTTCGTATAAGTGCTCGCCTTGCCGCTCTGAAGAGCGTCCAAAACGGCCAAAAAGGGCCCCCAATGTCGCCCCAAAACGGGAACACAAACTGGCATTTCTACCACTTTGACCACTTTCCCCCATGCTGGCACCCGACGTCGTCAGAGGCCCCTAGGATACCCTGAGGAACCCCCTAGAGACTCCTAAGAGACCTCCAACAGGTCTCCGAGAGCACACAAAAGGCTTCTGAGAGGCCTCTTGTTCACGGCCCAAGCACGGTGGCACCGACGGCCACTAGACCGGGCCCGGCACAGAAACGGAAAAAACGCTTCAGAAACAGAGACCGAAATTGCTCACACCAGCGTTCGTACCGGGAGCCTTGGCGTTGAGAGCTTGTTACGTCATCCGTCGCTCTTGGGAGCCTTGGTGTTCAGAGATTGTTGCGTTGCCGCCCGTTCCTGAGCCTTGGCTGGGCCTTGGTGTCAGGAACCCTGAGCCTTGGCTGGGCCTTGGTGCCAGGAACTTGTTACGTCACCGCTCTCTGCTGGGAGCCTTGGTCTTATCAGCTTGTTTACGTCACCGCTCGCTCTTGGGAGCCTTGGTGTGAAGAGCTGTTTGCGTCACCGATCGCTCTTGGCGTCTCTGGGCCTGCTTGGGAGTCCTCTTGGGGCCCTTTTCGGGCCCTTTTGGATGCCTCTTGGGACGCCTCTTGGGGCTTCTTGGGGGACTCTGGGGGCCTCCTGGGAGCTTCTTGGGGCGAAAGGCTAAACTTCTCGGTTCGTAGTCCCCCTCTTGGGCCGGTCTTGGGGCCCTCTTGGGCCGTCTTGGCGCCCTCTTGGGCCGTTTTGGGGACCCCTTGGGGGCCTCTTGGGCCGTCTTGGAGCGGTCTTGGGGGCCTCGTCGACCGTCTTCAACGCCGTGAAAGCCGAAAAGCCTTGTATGCTAGAAATGCACATTTTCCTATGGGAAATCAATGATCTTAGCCTCCTGGTGGCCTCTTGGGACGCCTCTTGGGGGCCTCTTGGGGCTTCTTGGGGGGCTCTTGGGGCATCCTGGGAGCGTCTTGGGGCAAAAGGCTAAACTTTTCGGTTCGTGGTCCCAATCTTGGGGCCGTCTTGGGGCCCTCGTGGGCCGTCTTGGGCGCCTCTTGGACCGTGTTGGGGCCCTCTTGGGCCGGTTTGGGGCCCTCTTGGGGGCCTCTTGGGCCGTCTTGGAGCGGTCTTGGGGGCCTCGTGGACCGTCTTCAACGCCGTGAAAGCCGAAAAGCCTCGTCTGCTAAAAATGAACATTTGCCCATCGAAAATCGATGATCTTGGCCTCCTGGTGCGAAGATGAGCGAGTTTTGTGCCCCAGCCGAAACGCAGTAGCTCAGCAGTTTAGAGACTGGTACCCCGACCGGGGTAAGTGGAGTTTTTAAAACAGGATAACATAACACGTTATGTTTCCGCGGCCGTTTGCTATCGAACGATATCAGGGGATCCCCTTTTCGAGCCAGCAGCGATAACAAGTTATCAGATGTGTTCCAGTCACAGACTGGGGTTTCCCTGATTTCACAAGCTGTGTGTGCGAGGCATACGCCTCATTTCATAAAGATCGACCGAGCGGATCTTGCAGCTCACGGCCAAAAGCAGCTCGACATCATTATCATTGACACTGGTAGTGCGGAGCTTGTGTTTCGAGACGGCCTATGCTTTTGTATTGGTTCAGTTTCGTGACACTCCTTCATATCTCAAAGACCTGTTCCTCGCGGTCAGGCAGTTCATACCCTAACGAGAACAAGTTCTCGGACTACCACTACGAGCTCAACCTCACCGACCCCTACACGTTCAAAATGGCTTTCTCAGAAAAACGACGCGGAGCTAACCAACATGTGTGGTTGGACAAGGATGGCACACCATGCTACGACGGAGACGCAGCAGCAGCAGAAGAATGGGACGAGCGAGTTCGTTTGGGCTTTCTAGGCGTGGACACCTTGGAGAAGAAAAAGGGTTTCGTTGCGAGAGTCAAAAACAGCTTGACGGAAAGGGCCTGGACACTATGCCATAAGGACGAGAAGATCAGCGTGGCAGCGCTTAACAAGTATTTCAAGAAAGGCAGCACAACGACAGAGAAGGAGGATGCGATCGAGGAGGCACTCGACATGCTCATCAAGTGTGTACGCTCACATTGCGAGAAAGTGGCACCACTGCAGAAACATAAAGCGTTCTTGGACTACTTCAAGCGCGGACACAGAAGGCCAAATGAGCAGATCAAGGATTTCATCCAGCGAAGGACCGACGCCTACGAGAAGCTTCGAGACTTGACAGGTGGTAAGACACAAGTTTCAGAAGATCTACGAACATTCTTTCTGCTAGACATGTGCGGCATCACCGAGGCTCAGCACAAAACATTCTTGGGACAAGCCCAGAACGAGTACGATTGGGACGCCATTTGCGAAGTATTGGAGATCCAGCTCGACAACGTCGACGCCCGAGGATCGAACCGACAACAGCATCATGGACGGAAGTTTCGGTGGAATGCAGCCTTCGGTGCAGACCCGGAGGAAGATGAGGGAGAGCAAGAGGCAGAAGCAAGTGGAGACGAGGACGAGGACGACGCTGAAGAAATGGAAGCTTTATCAGCTGAAGTGGAGGAGCTCGAGACGGCCATGCTCATCGTGGACCTGGACGACCTCGGTGACGAGGAGGTGGAGACGTTCGCTTCCGAGGCTCAGAAACTAGGTGGAGCTATCGCAGCAAAAGGACGCGGACGTGGAAAAGGAGCGAGCTCATCATCAAACTACACCCGGCAGCGTCAGTTCATGAAGGACGGAAAGACGAACCGAGGGTTCAAACAGGGCAAGACCTACATCGACTTCGACGGCAAGATCAGCTTCGGCTCGAAGGAGCTCCAGGACAAGCTAGGGGCTTTCCAGAAAGCAAGCAAGTGCAGAGCTTGCGGAGAGACAGGACACTGGGCGGGTGACCCGGAGTGCAGCAAGACGAAGAAGACGGCACCACAGGCCAGAGCCTCAGCAGCCAGCGGACGTGGCAATGGTAAAGGACGTGGTGGACGCGCTGGAGGTTTTCTGGCACGTACTGGACTAGCGGCCGCCATGCTTGCGACCGGAGTTGGCCAGCCGACCGAGGTATACATGATCGAGCCGACGCAGAACTACACCGACGAGGTGACCACTACGATCAACGAGATTGACGACGGAATGGTCGACGCGATGGCGATAAGCCAGGTGGTACCCCCTGGCTACGTGGTCTTGGACACGGCAGCCTTGGCACCATGCGGCGGTGACAGAGCGATTGACAGCCATTTTGAGAAGTTTGACTTGGCAGACCTTCAGATGCCCACTCAGACGATCTTCAAGGGCATCAATACCGCGGCCCCCATCAAGGCCGAGAGTACACAAGCAGTACCAAGCGGTATCCAAGGACGGGACTGCACTCTCAACTTTGAGAGACTACCAAACTCAGATGCGCCCATGCTCATGAGCGTGGACCAGATGGACGCCCTGGAGGCAGTCATCAACGTCAAGCGCAACCAGGTGGTGTTCAAGAGTATATCCGACCAGCCCGTGAAGATCACGCGTTCCAAGAAGAACCACCTGATGATCAACATCACCGACTTTCCCAAGGAGCCTACACAGATCGAGGCACCGACTATCAGCACGAAGGCGCTGGACGTGTGGGCAGCCGAGAAGGAGGATCAGGTGAAGTACGTCTCAGCGGCCATCGAGAAGATCACGACCGAGGTGGACGACACTGGCATCATGACGAAGTCCAGGAAGAAGCAGGTGGACGCCTGGATCGCGGACTACGCTCAGGAGCAGAAGGCGACCTGGAGCGTGCTACGCAGAGACCAGCACCGACTGTTTGTACCTGGGACGGTGGTCAAGGAGATATATGGCGGAGAGTGCAACGTCACGAAGCTCGCAACCAGCTGTGGACTCAAGACGGGCAAGTGCAAAGACCTGCGGACGACGGGCGACAACTTGCTACTACCAAGTGTACAGACAGCTACGATGCGAGAAATCGAGGAGGAGGACCCGTACCTCACTATCGTGCCGTTCCCGTGCGAGGGGCTCTCGCCAATCAACAACTTCTACCCGGAGAAGGAGCGGCGACGGCGCCGCACGAAGGCACTCGCACACGTGCGGTTTGCACTACAGATCGTCAAGCACAGACTGGAGCATGGACGACACGTACTACTGGAGAACCCCCTGTGCTCACAGGTCTGGAAGCTCATCAAGGACGAGCTACCTCAGGAGATGATCTGGGTTCGATGCGATCAATGTGCTTTCGAACTACGAGACGATCGTGGAGATTTGCTGCAGAAGCCTACGAGGTTTGTTACGACAGCAGTGGCATTGGCATATGCACTGGAAGTACGATGCACAGGTGACCACGAACATGGAGAAGTTCAAGGTCGAGGAGGAAAATCCAGCGAGTTCGCAGTATGGACCCCGGACTTGGCGGAAAGGATCCTCGAAGGCACGAAGCAGCAGTACGAGTTGGAGAAGCTTCTGGGTGGTGACATCATCCTGGGCATCCCCGACGCCACTGACGCATACCCCGCTACAGGTTTTACGTCAAGCTCAGGGCTCATCATGGGCTCAGCGGCTGAAACCTACCAACAATGGCAGCAGGTACCAGCAGCACTCAAGGCG